TTTTTTAACGCTATAAGTCGTAGTCAAATACATGTGAAATATGAGTCATGTATTTCATAACACATATGAAACCTTTTTAAGTATTTTTTAAGAAGTCTTTTATAAAGATACTCTTAGTGCTCTTGAACTTATCGTTGGAATATTTTGCCTTCCAAGTGAGAGATTGTTAATGGAAGACCTAGGCTACCAGCCGGGCCGCCCGGGTCCCGGGTGACCAGCCCGTGCAAGGACCAGGGAAGGTACAAAAAAAAAAAAAAAAAAAAAAAAAAAAAAAAAAAAAAAATTGCGAACGAACTATGTAAGCTCATAATACAAACATAAAAAAATAGGCAAAAAAAATAAAGAGCGTTTTAAGACCCCATTTAAAGTGACTTTCGAAGTTCACAAAAAAAAATTCCGAATTCGGTGTTTTTGCCAACTTTTTCGTCACTGGTCCAAATACATCAAAACTAAATACAAATATATCATAAAGCACATACATATTAGACAAAAAATAAATAAAAATGATGAAAAATGTGAAAGTTTTTGTGAAAAAATCGTCAGCAATGACAGTACCTATTAACCACGAGTGTTCTAAATATGTCAGTAGTTGTAAAGACAATGTCATTCCTTGAAAAACATGTTTGAATTTTGGTTGTACCGTCGACAAGTTTTAAAACACCATTCTCTCCATATTCACTTGGTGGTTGAAATACATAACTCATTGTATTTTACATACAACTTAGTTATGGTTATGATGACTGTTGCGAGTTTGTTGCCTCACTATCAACACATCATCATCAATCCTCGCATGCCTCAATACACAACAAGGCAACATGTCAAATTTGTGAAAATGAAGGGGCAGATCTCCATTTTGTCTATTTTTTTGTTATAAGTTGTTGTGGTTTATGCAGGCCTAAGGAGACTAGAATATGCGTCACCCTTGACTTTCCCTCGAATCCTGGTGCGGTCCACATTTTACATACTCCAAGTCATCCAGCGGTCAAAAATGTCTTTTGAATCTGGTCTGCCCATATACTACTTTCCAGTATCTTTTAGTCATGAAAGACCGTCATGCGTGGTTACGCCTGTCATGTAAACGACACCTTGTGCAATAATTGAAAAACAACATTTTGCACTAATGGCCCTAGCGAACATGAGATCGAGGCCATCTTACCCCGAATAGAACTCCCGGTCATCCTCGTTGTATCAAGTGTGCAAATTGGACCTAATACGACTATGAGGACCAAACATTCTATTCAGGTGAAGACAATAGGATTTGAGCATTCTTGGCATCTTCCTGCCCAATCTCAAAATTTAATGGCTTCTCCCTCGCACCCTCCAAAAAAAGTAATTGGTGTAATGTTGGCCGCCTAAAAAATGTTGGTAGACATCCAGCGGCCTAGCTTAATTGGTTAGGCATGAAAGTGGCATTTAGGAGGTCGTGGGATCGATTCCATTGGCCGCCTGTGGCACACTCGGTGCCAACCGGCTGAGATAGTCAGCTGGATCCTCCCAATCGGTACTAGTAAGGTCTTCAACCAACACGAGTGTGAGTGCCCGTGTGAGTGGGTTGCTTGTGGTGTGTGGGAAATTGTTGGCTTTAGACACTACTGTTACTCGATGGGGATGGGGAAAGATGAAAAGGGAGGTACAATTACTGGCAAATGTTTGGTCTTTGTGTAGCTGGGCCGCCACTGGCGGCCCCAACCCTGCACCTAAACGCTAGGGCAAAGGGCCGAACATCCGAGAGAGGTAACCTCCCTTCACCGAAGAGAGGTAGAAGAAAGCTATGCTTGCAGGGGTCCCCTGTATAGCCTTAGGACTAGTGGTAGTTAGTGAGAAGAAAAAGACATGTTCCATGGCATGGCAGAAAGTCAGTTAAAATATGTGAGGTGATATATATATATATATATATGAGGAGAAGACAACGTATTTATTTTATATAAAAATACAATTAACAAATGCTGGAAGACTACTCAGGGTATACTCAACGCTACTAGGACTTTTCGTACGTGATTGCTGTCAGATTCATCTGGCTCTCTGGTCGTAGTTGCCGTCATATCCATTTAGGCAAGTCCTACCAGTGTGAGTATGCCCTCAGTCTACTACGGTAGTGGCAGGACCCCCCCCCCGGTCGGTCATACGACCGGAACCGAATCGCCAGTCCATCGCTATCACGTGTGATGGCGGTCTCCAGACTGGCACCTGGTGTGAAACGGCAACTGCGAGTACCACGTTGGGTCTATCTACTCGATCCAACGTGTACACTACTATCCTTTCTGTGACCGGCAGCCTAACCGTGCATGGGTAGTTTGTGTGCAAGTTTTAGCGGTACAGAACAGACCCTAAACGGAACGCGACGGGCCGTAACGGAACGGATGCTTGGGATCTCGGGGGAGTGAGGACCCCCGTGGGGGTTTGGGCCGGTCCATCTGCCAGGTCAGCGAGCGAATGAGTGCCAGGTGGATCGTCGTCGACGACGGGACGTAGGATTCCCCGGAACCTTGTCGCGGCCACGTGGAGAAGTTGGAGAGGCAAGCGCATTCCTTGGTGGTTGATTGATCGATTGATCGATCGATTGATTGATTGATTGATTGATTGGTCGCGGCTATGTCGACGTTGGAGATAGAGGCGCGGGATGTCATCAAGATCATCCTCCAGTTTTGCAAGGAAAACTCACTTCATCAGACGTTCCGAACGCTGCAGAATGAGTGCCAGGTGTCGTTGAACACAGTAGATAGCCTGGAGACCTTCGTCCTCGACATCACCAACGGTAGATGGGACGTTGTTTTACCCCAAGTGGCGCAATTAAAACTGCCGAGGAAAAAGCTGGAGGACCTATACGAACAGATCGTTCTGGAGATGATTGAGCTTCGCGAGCTGGACACGGCGAGAGCGATCCTGAGGCAAACACAGGCGATGGACATGATGAAACAAGAGCAGCCAGAAAGATACCTACGGCTGGAGCACTTGTTGATCCGAACGTACTTCGATCCCAGGGAGGCTTATCAGGAATCATCGAAGGAGAAGCGGCGGGCTCAGATCGCGCAATCTTTGTCTCAAGAAGTCACTGTCGTCCCGCCTTCGCGTCTTATGGCCTTGATTGGACAGTCGTTGAAATGGCAGCAGCATCAGGGAATGCTGCCGCCGGGCACGCAGTTCGATCTGTTCAGAGGAGCGGCGCCTGTCAAGGTGGAGGAGGAGGAAACCTACCCCACACAGCTCGTTCACACCATCAAGTTCGGCAAAAAGAGTCATCCTGAATGTGCCCGATTTTCCCCCGACGGGCAGTACCTCGTCTCCTCCTCGGTGGATGGGTTCATCGAGGTGTGGGATTACCTCAGCGGCAAGATGAAGAAGGACCTGCAGTATCAGTCCGACGACGCGTTCATGATGCACGACGACGCCGTGCTGTGCCTCTGTTTCAGTCGCGACAGCGAGCTCATCGCGTCGGGATCTCAGGACGGCAAGATCAAGGTCTGGCGAATCAGAACCGGACAATGCCTGCGCCGATTCGAGAAGGCGCACTCTCAAGGCGTGACGAGTCTGGTGTTCTCGCGGGACAGCAGCCAGCTGCTAACTACCTCCTTCGACTCCACCGTCCGATTGCACGGACTGAAGTCTGGGAAGATGCTGAAGGAATTCAGGGGCCACACTTCGTATGTCAACGATGCCATCTTTACTAGCGATGGCGGGCGTTTGATCAGCGCTTCCAGCGACGGCACTGTCAAGGTGTGGGACGTGAAGACCAGCGAATGTGTCCACACCTTCCGCCCTCCGCAGTCGCTGCGTGGCGCCGAAGTAAGTGTCAATTCTGTGTTTTTGATGCCCAAGAACCTGGACCACGTCATCGTCTGTAATAGGTCGTCGTCGGTGTTCATTATGACAATGCAAGGGCAGGTTGTGAAGAGTTTTTCGTCAGGGAAAAGAGAGGGAGGCGACTTCCTCGCCGCTTGTGTCTCTCCCAAAGGCGATTGGATCTTTTGCTTAGGAGAAGATGGCATGCTTTATTGCTTCAGTACCCAAACCAATAAACTCGAGCACCTTATGAAGGTGCACGAAAAAGATGTGATAGGACTCGCTCATCATCCGCACCGCAACCTATTGGGGACCTATGGCGAAGACAGCACGCTCAAGCTCTGGAAACCCTAAAATTTTTCGTATGCGCTTTTCGTTTCTCTACTTTTCACTTTTTTTTTTTTTTTTTTTTTTGATTTACTTTTGTTTTGCTTTTTGCGTTTTCTTTCCTGTTTCCTTGTTGGGTGTCTCGCAAGCATCTGTTGATTTGTGACATACGTATCTGCTGTGATTCGTTTCTCTACTTTTCACTTTTTACTCCTTTTTTTTGTTTTTTTGTTTTTTCCTTTTTGTGTTTTACTTTTGTTTTGCTTTTTGGGTTTTCTTTCCTGTTTCCTTGTTGGGTATCGCGCAAGCATCTGTTGATTTGTGGCATACGTATCTGCTGTGATTTTTTCTTGTATTCGTTTTTCTCGTCTTGTTCTCGGACATCTGAGATCGCCTTCCTTGTGGCGGCTATGTCCAAGAAGAGTTCCTCGTTGCTTGTGTCGGTTATGTCCAAGAGGTCTCGCTCCTTGTGGCGACTATGTGTGCGTTTGGGTGGGTGGGGGGGAGGGGAAGGAAGGGGGAGGGGAAGGAAGGGGGAGGGGAAGGGGGGGAGGGGGAGGGTAAAAAATGAGATATGGTGGATGACTGTTTTGCTTGCTCGGTTTGATGTGTGTGCGGCTTGAAACTACCATTCGCGATAGCTACCAGGAGGGCCCCACTTTTTTGCCTTTTCTTTTTCTAGATGATCCCATGGATTGCCGAGCGATTATTTTTGTATTTTTATTTATTTAGTGTTTTTTTTTGTTTTTTTTTGGGGCCCTCGGTGACAATGTTGTGGATTCATATTTTTACTACAAGAAGTGTTTCCATTGTCTCACGTATTCGACGCATCCCCCAATCACCCGACCGCAACAGAAAGAAGTCACAATATCTCTTACCCCCTATTCCCTTCTCTTCAAAATATCCACCAAC